TGATGCCCTCCTCTCTTATGTGTAGACATACTTGCAGAAAAACACTATATCTTTTTTAAAAAAGAAAACACAAGTGAATTTCTTCAATAGTTAAATATGACGGACAGGTGTTGGTGCATGTCTTTAATCCCAGCACTCAAGAGGCAGAGCCAGGTGGATCTCTGTGAGTTCGAGGACAGCCTGGGATAGAGAGTGAGTTTCAGGAAAGGCACAAGCTACACAGAGAAACCCTGTCTGGAAAAACCAAAAAAAAAAAAACAAACAAAAAAACAAAAGTTAAAGATAAGGAAAATACTTCTAACTACTCACATTCAAGTGGGAAGACAAAGACAGTTTTAACTACATAAAAGAAATAGTTTTTTTTTAAATATCGCAATGCATTATCATTATGATCAACATCCTGAGTCACTTTTAAAAGAATAAATTATAGATGGAAAGTTAACATTGCTGGCATATATGGAAGTGTAAAAATATGTGAGTGAAAGACTGATAAGAAATAAACAAGAAGTAATTATAAACATGTAGACACAAAATAGGCTTTTTCTATTAACTGTGTCCAAGCCACACATGATTGGGGAAATGAAATGTAAAATAACATTATTTAGAATGCAGTGGTGGTCACAGGTTCTCCTCCAGAATCCATGACTTCATTAGCCATGAGGAGTTGACCAGTTTTCCAGTACTAGACATGGTTTCTTTCCTGGTGAGCGTGTCTGAAGTCCAATTAGAGTTTTTGATTAGCAGCAAGTTACGTATAACACTATTGTATCCTTAGGGTCATTAGCTGTATTCTAATTCATGTGCATCATAGCTGGGTAGAACTAGGTGTAGTCCTAACACTTCATTATGGAAATTCTATTTTAAACAAATTTAGAACCTTACAGAAAACAACAACCAATCAAAAGAAAGAGTTGTAGAGCCCAGTCTCAATGGGTACATCCTAGGAACTACTTCTTCACCTAAGATTTAGGGGACATAGTTGGAGATAGGGGCAGAAAGATTTTAAGAGCCAGAGAATCCTGTAAGACTGTCTCCTAATTATGTCAGAAGTTACACCCATGTCTCACTAACATGAATGCTTAAACATGAGCTAAGCAGGGACAACAATAATAGACATGCTATTGTGGACTGGGGGATATCCTAGAGGTCTGAACCCCAGATAAAAAATTATGGGCAACTAAAGAATGCTGAAAGCAGGAGGAATGGTCTTCCCCAGGGAAGAACATAACAATTAGTTATATACTACGAAGTGCTCAGCCTTGAAAAACCATTAGTTATTTTATATAAGTGATTAAATGAACATAATACATGTTCACAAAGAAGGACGGCACGGTACAGCTCTAACTAAATTTGAAATATCTCGTTAAACTGTTGTGGTTTGTTTCAAGGATATAGTGTTATCCAAATAAACCACAGGACACCATATGTTTGTAAAGTAACACATTTCTCTTAAGGTCAACATGACTAAAATTGGCTTATCTTTTTCCATCTAACATTTTCATCTTTTATATCATGTTGAGATAAACTCAGAATTATGTAACAGTGACTTAAAAACATGGGTTCATGATAAGCATTAAAGTATTGTAATGATGTATTAACAATATTATGGATGTAATATTAAGAGTAGGAAAAAGTGTGGGGAGTGTATACACATGAACACACATACAAAGATCTGTTTTTATAAAAAGTACTTCTGGATTATACCGGCAGTCCCTCAGGAAATGATGCTCTTGGATCTCAGTTACCCTGAGGACTCTTCATTCTTGTGAGATTTTCCTGTAGGACACTAGAAAATAAATCCACCATGGTCTCTTAAGACACTAAATTTTTATATAGGACTGTATGTCACATTAAGTAAGGTTTATAACATCTTACAGGTGAACTGCGTTGAACTGTAGAACAGAGGGTGATGTGGTTTATTTTCATATCAAAATTGGATAAATTGATTAAAAATAGTAAATATAAAAGAGCATTTTCTCAGTCGTGTATTTTGAGGTAGAATGAGGTGCTAGGGGAGAAGAGGGATCATCAATGCTCTCTGCACACAAGGGTGATGGGCTGGGTCATGTGCAGAAAGCTTGCTCAAATCTGCACATGCACCTTACTGACAAAGCTGCAGAACAGTCAAAGGGTTAGTGCTTTTACCATTCACATTTGACTTGTAGATAGTGGTGAAATATTAGTAATACAATCATTATCTAAAATGAAAGTCTTTGATTTTTTAAGTATTCTGTAACATTTCAACTAATGAACATAATTGCCTTTTTTAGTCTGTGTTATTTTATTTTGTAGGTTATTTCTTCACCATAAGAATACATGGTAATGTGATTGTTGAGGTAGGACAAATCCGTAGCTTGGTGGGATGGAATTCATTACATGATTGTGCATTTGATTCAGTGTTGTCATTGAGATGTATTGCACAAACAGGAATACTTTATTCTTCATCCAACAGTTTTATAACTTAAAAGATGTGACAATTGATGGGGAATCCATGTACAATTTTCAAAGAAAACATGTTTGAACTATTTTGATCTTTGCTTTACTCAGGTCTGTCTGTCTAAATATTGTCTAAAGACCCCTGCCATTCATTGTCCACGGGAAAGTATTTCATTTTCAACTTGACTTAGTTCTTTGTATTTTTATGTGTTCAGCATTTAAAAATTAATTTATGCATTAAAGTTTGAAATATTGTAAATATTTTTGTTAATATCTTCAAAATGGAAGATATGATCTTAGTGTGTTCATTTTAAATTGTTTTGACTATTTTTTTGTAATTGCAAAAGCAACAAAGAAAGAAGTTTTCCTTGAATGTTTTACTAAATCTCTGGGGTGGTTTTTTTTTTGGACAAATTAAATGAATATTTAACAGCTATTCTTGAAAGTAACTACACTGCAGTAATGTTTTATATAAAGATGGATGGGAAAGAGTTCCTAAAACAAAGATCAGCCCTGAAGGAGATCTTATTAGAAGAAACTGTTGTAACTTAGGTTTTTGTAAGAATATTTAATTGTTCATTCAAAAATTTTTATGAAACTGAATTTTCAAAGCTATGACTTCTGAAAATAGTCACTCTTACTTTGATCTTCTGGTATAAACATAAACTTGAATATATTTTTATATTTAAAGTCATTTGTCCAATGTATAGAACAATCAAATTACTATTTTTACATGCATAATTATTAGTGGAATCAAAAATTTTATTTACTAATTGATAGTTGACTTGATATTTCAATATTGTTATTTTGATAAGAACATTCATATATCCAAAATTCATCTCATCAGGCATCCCACGACCAACTGTGAGCATGAAATTTCTGATGTAATCTTTTCTTTTTCTCAAAATTCTCTTTTTCTGACTTAAAAATACATTCATGTTCTTAAAATTTAAGAAATGAGCAAAGAGGTAGGCATTAGTAATATAAACATTTAACATTTATTATGTAATGTTTCCCCTTTTTATTATATACACATTTACAGATATAGTTTTGATCTTTTTTCCTATTATCATTTCATATATATTTATTGCTCATCTTCCATGTATTTTTCTTTTTCTTCACATTTCCATTACCATAACACAAGGGCAGTTTTATATTTCTCTGTTTCCACTCTATTTATTTATGGCTCTTTGTTAAATTCTATATGTTTTTAAGTTTTATTAATAAGGAGATCAACTATCTCTACTGCCTGAATCATCATTAAAATAATTATTAATGAAATGTACTGTGAAGAAAGTGTCACCTAAGGGACATGCCATCAAAGAAAAGGATTAGAAATATTCACAAGGATACAATATTTTTTTAGGATACAATCTTAAAATCATTCTCTGTGTGTTTTTATTAACTATCTGAAACATTATATAATAAACCACAAAAAGAAATTATGAGTTGGGACAAGGGTACTGTAGTCCAACAATTGCTATAATTGCTTAGAATGTACAAGACCCTGGGTTCAGAACCATGAGACAGAAAACAATTAACTAGTATATTGAGCATTCTGATTATTGACTTAGGCGAGGTGTGTTTTTGTATATGTGTTTTTAAATGCCAAACTTAGATTGCTGCTACTGAGTGATTTGGCTCTATTTCATAATATTTAAAGTCCAATTTTTGTGGATTTTCTAATTAGTCAAATAAATTAAAAAACTAGAATTACACTTAAGGGGTGAAAATTTTTTTAAATGCTTAAAATAAAGTTATATCCATCCAAAGATACAAATCATGTATTGTCCAAACACATGCAACTGTAAGACAGGAGGTGGCTGCAATAATTATCTGAAACATCACTTTTCTAACTCTCATACACACACACAATAATTATCACTCTTACTTTTCAGATAGACCTCTTTTTCTCTTCAAACTTGATGTAAGCCAGAAGACTGTAATGGGAAGCCATTCAGGAGAGACAGTGCTTCTTGTGGGTTTAGCTGATGACACAATCTTGAGACTTGTGCTAGCCACTGCTTCAGCCTAATCACCATCACATTTAGCATAGAAGGTACTTGTTTTACATTAATATATGAATATCTCTTCTATAATAATGCCTTCTTAGAAATTTCTTATTCTATTACATATATTGCTAAAATGGTAGTTACTGTGGCCAATGCAAATTAAATAAATTCTGTAGAATATTAAATCAATTAATAGTGAGTTGGCAATTAATGTGAGATATTAACAAAATTAAATTTTGAATATGGATTTAGAATGAAAATCCTAGAGAGTCACAGATGAATACGAATGTAGCATAAAAGGATAAGAAATGACCACAAATGGGCAAATAGGCTGCACACAACTTCTCACAAAAATCTCAGAGCTCTGATAATCATGGGAATGTGATAGAGGATATGTTCAAAGAATGACTTGAATATTGATTTCTGAAAAATATATGTGGATTTATTAAACATATGTATACAGAATTTTTGATGGATGAAAAGAAAAAAGTATTTTTCCTGGGTGTGATAATAGTTTTGTATTTTCTGTAGATTTGCTAAGAAACAAGAGAAATGAAGAACCAATCTGTAGAGATAGTGTTCATTTTGCTTGGACTGACAGGTGACCCTCAGCTACAAATTCTGATTTTCCTGTTTCTGTTTTTCAATTACATCTTGAGCCTGATGGGGAACTTAGTGATCATCCTCCTCACCCTGCTGGATCCCCACCTCAAGACTCCAATGTATTTCTTCCTCCGGAATTTCTCCTTCCTAGAAATTGCATTCACCACAGTGTGCATCCCCAGGTTCCTGACAAGCATTCTCTCAGGGGAGAAAATGATTTTGTACAATGCTTGCGTAGCTCAATTATTCTTCTTTTTCCTGCTAGGGGCCACAGAGTTCTACCTCCTGGCTGCCATGTCCTATGACCGCTATGTAGCCATCTGCAGACCACTGCACTACCCCATCATCATGAACAGTAAAGTGTGTCACCTACTGGTCATCAGCTCCTGGGTGACTGGGTTCTTAGTCATCTTTCCCCCTTTGCTCTTGGGACTCAAACTGGATTTCTGTGCCTCCAAAACTGTCGATCACTTCTTTTGTGACACTTCTGTCCTTCAGCTGTCTTGCACAGACACACGTTTAATAGAATTGATGGCTTTTGCCTTGGCCGTGATGACACTGGTCATCACCTTGATCTTAGTGATCCTCTCCTACACACTCATCATCAAAACCATCCTCAAGTTCCCTTCAGCTCAACAACGGAGAAAGGCCTTTTCCACCTGCTCCTCACACATGGTTGTTGTCTCCATTACTTATGGGAGTTGTATCTTCATGTATGTTAAAACATCAGCCAAGGAAAGGGTGACTCTAAATAAAGGTGTAGCTGTGCTCAACACTTCTGTGGCCCCTTTGCTAAACCCTTTCATTTACACCCTCAGGAACCAGCAGGTGAAGGAAGCTTTCAAACATGTTTTTCTTAGATTTTGTTCTTTTAAAAACCATGAGACAAGACTTAGACATAAATAATACCTTGTTGAAACATGAACTACTCTCAAATGTATTAGCTGTGATCTAAGCCGATTCACTGTTGAGTGTTTTAATCACTTGTTTTCAAAGTCTATCTGAGTGTGTCCACATTTTTCTTTTAGCACAGCTTCCTAACTGATAGGGATGAAGGGGCATTCTCAAAATCAGAATATTATATTATATATTTATAGGAGAATTCTCATGAATTTTCATGTACTGAATGTTTATTTAATTGAAGCTTGCTACATTTAACAAGTTAAGCTATTTTACATGGATTATATTGTAAGAGTCACAGATAGAATGATGATTATAATGTGAAATAATTGAGATTGTCACAGCAGATAGAAACTTTAGTAATTTGAAAGATAAACTAAAGGAGGAAACATCACTTCCAGCAAACCATGAAAAATGAATAAGGAAAACAAAGAGTCCTATAATGAATGGCATGAAATATGTCAAAGAATTGGAAATATGTTGCAAAAATTTCCCTGAAAAAGTATGCTGAGACTGTGCTATTTTGTTAGCTTAATTTGATGATATTTTGCTTAAAATAATTAAACTCTGAGTTTTGTACTAATTATTTTATTGGTTTTTGATCTCTATATTTTGAGTGTGATGATAACCCAAAAAGTCATTCTCTGTTTTCTTCATCAGTACCTTGGTTTAAAGATACTTCTATCTATTAACCTAAATTCAAGAGATAAAATGTCTTTATCAATTCAGATTATGTCAATTTTCACAAATTTAATTATGTATTTTAATACAGTAATATAAAATAATTTCAAACCTGTGTACTAGAATAGTGTGCACCTGTGAGCACCTAGAGGACACCACAATAAATTCTTTCCCTCTGCTTATTCTAGTCACACTGTGCCAGTTCCCATCTCCATCTGAGGTCTTTGGTGATTCTTCATTAGTCTCGCCTTTCTGGACTCTCATAGGAAAAGAACAGCACACTTGGCAGTGTATGTCTGCCCCTAGCTCTCTCTAATTTACATGCTTCAGTTTCCCATGCTTCTCTGTGAATCTGCTCTGATCTTCTGTAGCAGTGTGGCCACTGTGCTCTTGTGGTAGACAACTTTCCTCCCTGTGTCTCAACAGTTTGCCAATATCATTCCCTGAGCAACCAACCCACAAGAATGAATCATTTACTTCAATTGGAGTAAGAGTATGAATAACCCTCAGGCTCTGAAAGACTCTGTCTTTCCAGTATGCCTTTATAGAAAAATAAAAAGAATATCTGCCAGATAACAAACAATTCATTATATATATATATATATATATATATATATATATATATATATATATATATATATATATATATAATATACAGTTCAACTATATCTTAGGGGTTCCATTCTCAGGGCAGAAAAGCTTATGAAATTTTCTCTGGTGAATAAGATTGAAAATTTCCAATAGGGCACATTCCACATTCTGTTGCTCCTTTTAGAACTCACCTCAGCTGGAAATTAGGACTCAGTTTGTTTACATTTTTTGCAATGAGTTCCAATATAAGCTCTCCAACCAGGTAGGCTGCCACCTGCAGATCTTTCTCTCTGTTTTCCCATACCCAATCCTCCAGTATCAGTCCAAGCTTTTCAGCAGAACATCATAGGCAGCCTTCCCTGTCTTCCTGGTCCCATCCCCTGTGGATCTCACAGATCTTCCACTTCTAGCCTTCCTCCTCCCACTTATTGCTTTGCTCAGACTCCTAACTCCAGCTGGCACCCCTGCTAACCAGAGTCACCCATCCCAAGGCAACAAGTCGGGACTAAAGGTGGACCCAGACCCCTCCTACTACTCCTGAGAGCCAATGACCCTCCTCTCATTCCAGCTCTATAGCAGGAAACCTGTAGTGTTCTCCCTTTCCTCTCTGACGCCCATCCTGAACAGATCACAAAGATCTCCTCCAAACTTCCTTCCCCAACTCATCCTAATATCCCAGACTGCAAACCAGCAGGCATTCCCTTGGAACACACCAGCTGAACAGTCAAGAAAAGAGGCAACATGCAGCAGTCATGCTTTTTGTAAATCCAGAGAGGAAACAGAAAACAAGGAACAAAATACCCACCCAATAAAGTCAAATCCGGAAATCAGCACCTAGCCCTATAATCATCCCAAACCCAGATGCTAAGATGCCAATGAAAACACACAATAACAACAGCTAGGACAGTATGTCTCCATTAGAGCCCAGCTACCCTACCACATCAATCCCTGAGTATTCCAACATAGCTGAAGGACAAGAAAAAGACCTTAGAACAGACTTTATGAATATGATAATAGCCTAAAGAAGAAATGAATATATCCTTTAAGAAATCCAGAAAACATGACCCTCCCATTTCCTTATGTTCTCATCCCCTACTCCTCGCCCTCTGCTACCCCCACCACCATACCCAGTCCACTCATGTAGATCTCATCCACTTCTCCTTCGCAGGGTCATCCATGTGTCCCTCCTAGGGTCTTTCCCTGTTAGCTAGCCTCTCTGGAGCTATGGGTTGCAGTCTGGCCATCCCTTCCCTTACATCTAGTATCCACTTATGAGTGGGTACGTCCTATGTTTTTCCTTCTGAGTCTGGGTATGTTTTACCTTACTCAAGATGACATTTTCTAGTTCCATCCATTTGCCTTCAAATTTCATGATATCATTGTTTTTTACTACTGAGTAGTGCTCCATTGTGTATATGTGCCACATTTTCTTTATCCATTCTTCAGTTGAGGGGCATCTAGGTTGTTTCCAGGTTCCTGCTATTATGAATAATGCTGATATGAACATAGTTGAGCATATGTCCTTGTCGTAAGATTGAGCATTCCTTGGGTATATGCCCAAGAGTGGTATAGCTGGGTCTTGAGGAAGACCTATTTCCAATTTTCTGAGAAACCACCAAACTGATTTCCAGTTTGCATTCCTACCAACAGTGGAGGAGTGGGAGTGGAGGGCAGGGACAAAGATACTATGATAGATGAGGACATCATCTGAATAGGAAGAGGCAGGGTGCTGGGGAGGCTCTCAGGAATCCACAAGGATGACCCCAACTTGGCCTGCTAGCAGTGGTCCAGAGTGTGCCTGGACTGGTCTACTCTGGTGACCGGTCTAGTGAATAACCTAGTTGTCATCATAGAGCCTTTGTCCAGTGACTGATGGAGGCAGATGCAGAGATCAATGGCCAGGCACCAGGCTGAGCTCCGGGAATCCAACTGATGAGAGAGAGGAGGGATTCTCCAGAGGACGTTGAGATCATGATGGGAGGACTTGCGGAGATGACTGGCCACACTAGTGGAAGCCCATGAACTGTGGACTGGTGGCTGTGGAGCCCCCATGGGACTGGACTAGGCCCTCAGGATATGGAAGATGGTTGTTTGGCTTGAACTGTTTGGGGGGCACCCAGGCAGGTGGATCAGGATCTGTCCCTGGTGCATGGGCAGGCTTCTGGGCATCTCGTGCCTGTGGTGTGATGCCCTGCACAGTCTTGGTGCAGTGGGAAGGGGCTTGGACCTGCCTAGGCTCAGTGTTCCCAGCTCTGCTGACTCCCCAAGGGAGGCCTTGATTTTGGGGGATGTGAGGATGCAGGGTGGCTTGGGAGAGAGGGCTGGGGTGTGGAAGGAGGGAGGAGGGGGATCTTTGGGTGGTATGTGGAGTGAGTAGAAAATTTCTTAATAAAGAAAAATGGAAAAAAAAGAGAAATCCAGAAAAGTCTCCTCCCTGTCCATTAATGCCAGAAGAAAGTGGGAGAGCTTGCCCTGAGGTTATAAGAGTGGGAGAGCCATTCCTGACCCCCATCATCTATAATACTCAGGAAAGTAGGCCCTGCACCTTGCCAGGATAGCACAATAGAGCTAATCCTGTTAGTGGAGGGTGGGTGAGCCAGCCCAAAAATAGTGAGGGAAAGCTGTCCCCATGACTCATCTATCTTGAAGTGGCATGGGCAGGGAAATTTGCCCTCCCCCCCACTCCTCCACCCTCACCCATCAATGCCTCAGACAGGTAGGAGAGTTGGCCCTGAGGTCATAAGGGCTGGAGAGCTGTCTGTGGCCCCCACCAGCTGTAACACTTGGGAGAGCAGGTCCTGCACCTCACTAGGGTAGCACAAGAGAGCCAACCTTGTTAGCAGAAGTGTGGGCGAGCCAGCCCCAAAGTTGTAAGTGAGGGAGAGCTGTCCCTACTACTCATCTGTCATGCAGCAGTGTGAGTAAGGAAGAGATGCCCTCCTTATCCTCTGCTCCTTACTGCCTGCAACAGACTAAGGAGATGACCCTCCAACCTTGCCAACTGCAGTACTCATGAAAATGGAACCTGCTCCTAGCCTAGGCAGCACAACAAAGCTGGCCCTATTGTCTGAGATGTGGGTGACCCAGCCCCAATGTTGCCAGCAAGGGAGAATTGTCCCCATTACTCATCTGACATGTGGCAGCATGTGTGGAAGAGAGATGGCCTCTCCAAACCTGTACATTCACACCTGAGACAGGTGGAAGAGCTGGTCCTGGGGTCATAAGAGCATGAGGACTGTCCCCGCCCCCATCAGCCACAGCACTCAGAAAATGTACCCTGCATCTTACCTGGGCAACATCCTAGAGCTGGCCCTGATGTTGTAGGTGGGGGAGAGCTGACCCTGAAGGCATGTGAGCAGGAGAACTGGCCCCACCCATTGCTCATTGCTGCAAGGGTGAATTAGTCAGAGCCATGTTAGAGAACTCACCCTGGTGATGAGGACAGGGGAGAACCGGCAGGTTGACCAACCCTGCACCTACCCAGGCTCCACACCAGGATTATGACTTGGACCACCCCAGCATCCACCCCATCTGGAGTGGTGTGAAAGGGCCTGACTTACAGACCCAAAGCTCAGGATCTCCATAACACAGGGCACCAACAGGTTGTCCAAGAAGAGTCCCAGTGAGATCTCAGCATCAATGGCATAGTAGCAACCAGAGGCCTCAAACCAGACCAATGACTCTACAATGAACACTTGTAAGTAAAGATACGTGGACAAAGGGGTTTACTACAAGACTCAGTGTGTCACACGGCAGCTTCTATGATGAGGTTTTTAATTCTTTCCTTTGTTTTTCTTTTTTTTTTCTATTAAATTTTGTTTTATTGGAGGGGAACATGTGCAGGGGCAGTGGGTGGATGCAAAGGGACAGGGAAATAAATGGGATCAAGATGCATGATGTGAAAGACACACTGAATAAGTAAAAAGAAAGAAATAATAAGAGATAAAAAAGAAAAGGGGCGAGATGGCTTCAAGGTTACTTTGCGGAGTGGGCGCTCTGGCGGCGCAGGCCCTCAGGGCCCGCGGGCCCGGTGGCGCGGTTGCGACGCGCTCCATGGCTTCTGCAGGTGGTGTTCCTACTGATGAGGAGCAGGCTACAGGGCTGGAGAGGGAGATCATGATAGCATCGACTGGATCCATACAATATGCTACCTCCAAAGGCAGCTTCAGGCACCAAGGAAGATCCTAATTTAGTCCCGACCATCACCAACAAGCGAATAGTGGGCTGCATCTGCGAAGGACAACTGTACTGTTATCTGGTTTTGGCTGCACAAAGGTGACGCTCAGCGATGCCCAAGCTGTGGAACCCATTATAAACTGGTGCCCCACCAACTGGCCCACTGAGCCCCTGCATTAACTTTTCAGAATGTGATGGAAAATTTCTCTCTAATAAAGACTAGCCATTGTATTGGCTCCTTCCATAGGTGGCTAGCTAGTCTTACTTCTGTAAAAAAAAAAAAAAAAAAAAAAAAAGAAAAGGAAAACACAAACAAATAGTGTAAGGAAACAAAAATAAAACTGTTAAAGACCTGAAAATGAAGATAGAATCAATAATAAAAACTCAATCTGAGGCAATTCTGGACATGAAAAATTTAGAAATTTGAACAGGAACTACAGAGACAAACTTTAACAACAGAATTAAATTAATGAGAGAAAATCCCAAGCATTGAAGATATAATAGAAGTAATGGATACACAGGTCAAAGAAGATGTTAGATCTAAAAGCTCCTGACACAAAAACATCCAGGAAATCTGGAACACTAAGAAAAGACCAAGCATAAGAATAATAGGTATGGAGGAAGGAGAAAAAAAAAACAGCTCAAAGGTCAAGAAAATATTTTAAACAAAATCATAGAAGAAAACTTTCTTTACCTAAAGAAGGAGATGCCTATAAAGGTACAAGAAGCATACAAAACACCAGATAGATTGGACCAGAAAAGAAAGTCTTCTTGCCACAAAATAATCAAAACACTAAACATACAGAACAAAGAAAGAATATTAAAAGCTGCAAGGAAAAAATAACCAAGTAAGATATAAAGGCAGGCCTATTAGAATTACACCTGACTTCTTTCTTTGTCAATTAATTAAAATTTTTCATTTATTTTACATGCTGACTGCAGTTTCCTCTCTCTCCTCTTTTCTTGTTCCCTTCCCCCACTACCTCCCCTCTGCACCCCCATCCACTCCTCCTCTGTTTCCTTCAGGAAGTGGCAGGCCTCCCATGATTGCCAACAAAGCATGGCATATGGAGACTCTAAAATCCAAAGGGGCCTGGACAGATGTGCTGCAGACTCAAGAGACCACAGACACCAGACCAGACTAATATACACAGCAGTATTCTCAATCAGCATAGATGGAAAAAATAAGATATTCCCTGATAAAGTCAAATTTAAACAATATCTATCTAAGAAGAAAAATTCCAACATAAGGAGGTTAACTACATTCATAAAAACACAAGGAATAAGTAATCTCATCAAAGGAAAATTCCACCAAGTGGACATTGCAATCTTAATATCTATACACTAAACAGAAGGGCATCCAAGCTTGTAAAAGGAACACTACTACAGCTCAAATCACATATTGACCCTCACACACTGATAGTAGGAGTCTTCAATACCCCACTTTCACCAGTATACAGGTCACCCAGACAAAATCTAAACAGAGAAATGCTGGAGCTAACTGACATTATAAACCAAATGAGCCTAATAGCTATTTACAGAACATTTCACCCAAACACAAAAGAAAATCCCTTCTCTGCATCCCATGGAACTGTCTCAAAAGTTTACAAAGCAAGTCTCAACACATACAAGAAAATTGAAATAACACCCTGCATCTTATCTGACCACAATGAATTAAAGCTGGATATCAACATCAGCAACAATAGAAAGCTTACAAACCCAAGGAAACTGAGGAACTCACTACTGTATGAAAATGGGAATAAAAAGAAAGTAAGAAAAAAAATAAAGACTTCTTAGAATAAATTTATAGGACACAATGAAAAAAAGCTTTAAAAAGCATGTTCATAGCACAAAGTGTCTACAAAAAGAGATTAAAGAGATCTCATATTAGTAACTTAAAGGCAAACATGAAAGCTTAAGAACAAAAAGAAGACATCACATCCAAGAGGAATAGATAGTAAGAAATAATCTTAGAGATTAAATCAATAAAATACAAACTATAGCTAGAGTTTTCCTGCCTGGCCCACAGTCAGGACAAATCTCTCTCACCTGCCAGTCCCACAGTCGCTCAGACCCAACCAAGTAAACTTATATTGCTTACAAACTGTATGGCTGTACCAGGCTTCTTGCTAACTGTTCTTACAGGTTAAATTAATCCATTTCTATAAATCTATACCTTGCCACATGGCTCGTGGCTTACCGGCATCTTCACATGCTGTTTGCCATCGTGGCGGCTGGCAGTGTCTCTGACTCAGCCTTCCACTTCCCAGCTTTATTCTCCTCCTTGTCCTGCCTATACTTCCTGCCTGGCCACTAGCCAATCAGTGATTTATTTATTGACCAATCAGCAACACACTTGACATACAGACCATCCCACAGCAACAAACAATAAAAATATCAAGAATAAATGAACTGAGGAATTGATTCTTTGGGAAATCAATAATATTGACAAATTAAAATTAACTAAAAGAATGAAAGAGAATATACAAATTCACAAAATTGGGGATGGAAAGTGGGACATAACAACAGGAAACAAGGAAATCTAGAGAATATTAAGGACATAAAAAAACCCTACACTCCAGCAAACTTGAGAATCTAAAAGAAAAGGATAATTCTCAGACACATACCTCTTAACAAAGTTAAATCAAGATCAGATATGTAATTTAAACAGGTCTAAAATACCTCGTGAAACAGAAGCTGCCATTAAAATCTCCCAACCTGAAAAATCCCAGGGCCAAATGGTTTTAGTGCAGAATTCTACCAGACTTTCAAAGAAAAGTTAATGCCAATACTTCCACAAACAGAAACAAAATGAACATTGATCAATTTAATGTATGAGCCCACAGTTATCCTGATACCCAAACCAAAACAGAGTCAACAATGAAAGAGAATTACACATCAATTATCCTTATGACCATAGATATACACCTCTCAATAGAATACTTGCAAATCAGTTTCACAAACACATCAAGTATCCACTTATGAGCGAATACATATCATGTTTTCTTTCTGAGTCTGGCTTACCTCACTCAGGGTGATTTTTCTAGCTTCATCCATTTGCCTGCAAATTTTGTGATGTCATTGTTTTTTACTGCTGAGTAGTATTCCATTATGTATATGTACCACATTTTCTTTATCCATTCTTTGATTGAGGGGCATCTAGGTTGTTTCAAGGTTCTGTCTATTATGAATAATGTTGCTATGAACATAGTTGATAAAAGGACCACCAGACTGCAACCCACAGCTCCAGAGAAGCTGGGTAACAATGAGGACCCTAAGAGGGATGCATGGATTACCCTGAGAAGGAGAAATAGATGAGATCTCCTGAGTAAAACTGGAAATGAAGGGAGACAATAGAAGGTAGGAGATGGGGAGGAGGATGAGAACATAAGGGAATGGGATGATTGAACTGGAACAGGGATGGAGTGGGAGAGCAAAGAAAGAGATATCTTGATAGAGGGAGACATCATGGGGATAGGGAGAAACCTATATACGGGAGCTCCCAGAAATCCACAAGGATAACCCCAGCTTAGACTACTAGCAATAGTGTAGAGTGTACCTGAGCTAACCTACCACAGTAATCAGATTGGTGAATACCCTAACTGTCATCATAGAGCCTCATCCAGTAACTGATGGAAACAGATGCAGAAATCCACAGCCAAGTACCAGGCCGAACTCCATGAGTCCAGTCGAAGAGAGGAAAGAGGGATTCTACAAGCAAGGAGCATCAAGATCATGATAGGGAAACTTACAGATACAACCAAACCAAACTAATGGGAACTCATGAACTTTAGACCAAAAGCTGTGGAGCCTGCATGGGACTGGACTATGACCTCTGCATAAGCTAGACAGTTGTGTAGCTTGATCTGCTTAAGGAGCCCCCTGGCAGTGGGAATAGGATCTATCCCTAGTGCATGAACTGGTTTTTTTGGAGTCCATTACATATGGTAGGACACCTTGCACAGCCCTGATGCAGGGGAAGGGGCTTAGATCTGCCTCAACTGAATGTACCAGGCTTTGCTGAAGCCCACATGGGAGGCTTTACCTTTTCAGAGGAGGGGGATGGGTAGTGGGCTGGTGGTAAGTTTGGGGGGAGTGGGAGGAGGGATGAGAGGGGGATCTGTGGTTGGTATAAAAAATGAATAAAAAATTTCTTAATAAAGAAAGATATAACAAAAAAGAGAACACATCAAAAATCCACCATGATCAAGGAAGCTTCACTCCACAGATGCAAGGATGGTTCATTATGTGTTAACTGATAAATATAAACCCACCATATAAGCAAACTGAAAGACAAAAACCACATGATTGTATCATTAAATCCAGAAAAGGCTTTTGACAAAACACAACACCTTTTCATGATAAAAGTTCTGGAGAGACTGTGGATACAAGGGACATATTTCAACATAAGTGCAGTCTACAGCAAGCCCATATCAAACATCAACTTAAATGGAGAGAAACTCAAAGTAACTCAAGAAAAATCAGGAACAAGACATGGTTGACCATTTTCTCCATATCTATTCAATATAATATTTGAAGTCTTATCAAAAGCAATAAGACAACTGAAAGAGATCAAAGAGAAGAAAATTGAAGATAATGAAGTCAAAGAATCTTTATTTGTAATGATATGATAGTATACATGAATGCCCCTAAAAATTCCACTGGGAAACTCATGTAGCTGAAAGCTCTTTCAGCAAAGTAGGTAGATACAAAATTAACTCACAAAAATCTGTAGTCTTCTATATACAAATGAAAATGGACTGAGAAAGAAATCAGAGAAACAACACCTTTCACAATAACCTAAAAATATCTTGGGTTATCTCTAACAAAGCAAGTGAAGACTTGCTTGATAAAAAGCATTGGGAGATTGAAGAAAGAAATTGAAGAAGTTATCTGAAGATGGAAAGATTTCCCATGCCCATGATCAGTAGATTAATATAGTAAAAATAGCTGTCCTACCAAAAGCAATCTACAGATTCAATACAATCCCCATCAAAATTCCAACACAGTTTTTCACAGATTATAAAAGGACAATTTTCATCCTCATATGAAAACACAAAACACCTAGGATATCTAAAACAATCTTGAATAATAAAATAACTGCTTGAAATATCACCATCCCTGAACTCAAATTGTAAAGAGGTATAGTAATAAAACAGGCTTGTATTGAGAGGAAAACAGACATGTTGGTCAACAGAATCAAATTAAAGACCCAGATATAAATCCACACCTATGACACCTGCT